TTCCGCGTTCTCAAAGTCCTAGTTTTCCGTTTTGGTGGCGATGAGTGGTGACGGGTCTGGTTCATCCAAACAGCAGACAACAATCCAAAACAAACCTAATGTTTGCTTTGTGGAGGAGATGGCTGGACATCTTTTGGTAACGCGAATGCATACTCGGCTGGTTTTGCGCGGTGACATCTTAAAACCGTATAGCAGACGAAAATAGATAGGAATGTCACCTGTAAGACAGAGAAATGTCAGTAAATAGTAATTCAACATATATGCGGTTTCATTTGGACAGAGAAATATGGAGTTCTCTTAGATGCAATGGTATTTAGAGCTATCTCTTCTAGATCAAGGCAGGTTTATATTAAGACTTTGTATCTGCTATATGATGGCCTAAAAAACCCATTGGTTTATGCAGCCGTAGTGGATTCGTCGTCATTCTACCTCCCATTACGCCTGGGCGAGCTGGTACACGTCACATCTAAAATAAGAGCAACGCAGAACAGCAGAACGGCGCACGTTGGCTGAGTTGAAATACATAACAATCAGCATCATTCATCCGGTTCGGCGTTGCAATTTGATCGCTGCGAAGACAATAAAGCTTGCTGCCGTGCCATGGCGTTAGACCAGAGGCGGGTAAAAAGAGAAAATAGCATCAAGCAAACTGAGTCTGTACTGCCCACGCAATTCTGCCATCAATTAGATTGTCTGGTTTATTAAAATAAAACATGTGTTACGAGGGCGGCCAGCGAAGAGCGCGCGAAACCGACTCTGAACTGAGGAGATATGGACGAGTAATGCTGGTCTGACGACCCGGTTAGCAGCCTTGCCTAAACAAAAAAGATGAAATCGGTATATAGTGTCGTTGAATTTCGGTGGATTCAAGGACAATGTAGGAGGAAACAATCAGGACTGTCGCTAGATCAGTATATTTTTGTATTCCGCGCGTATGTGTACATAGCACAGGTTTTTTGAGGGCATTTATTCCTAAAAATTACTACAATAGATAATGTCCAATCTGGCAGCTCTTCAAACTCCTTTGCAACCATCCTGGAAACTCTATTCCCCATGCTTGCCTATAAGACTGTGAATATTTTCCTGTCTTAGCCTGAACTTGAAATCTCATTACCTGACGTCTGAGTGTAGACACTATATTCTACAAATAGAGTATATTTAAAAGTATAGTCTTGTACTAGGATCGCATCGGGATGTATATTGTTCTGCATGTCTATAGCATTAGTGATATGTGGTCATTGATACCTAGGTTATGTAAGATAATTATTACTGAACATGCTATCCGTATATCTATCAGTACCCTTTGTAACACATATCGATCCGCTCTTGGTACTCATAAGTAGCTTGCTCGGCTGGCTGCAAATATGAACGGTCAGCAGGATTCGTACGTGCCCTGGCACTGCTCTTCGGAACACAATAAATATCGAGTTATCGCCGCCACGCCATATAAATCTATCCACGGCCAGACCGAAAATATAATATAACGGCAATCTATAAATTCTGTAGTTTCTAACGAGCCTTTTCGCGTCTAAAAACAGAAAGGAAATCCTGAGCTGATCTTAAATCTGACCATTCTTGGCAAAATACAATAAAGGGTGTTAGTTCCGGCTAAACATTGACTTACTGCAGTATTACCACCTTATTTCATACAAGCAGTATAGATTCCATTGTCAACTTTTCAAGCTACAATGAGTCAATTCGACTCTTAACTTTTTCGTTGGGTATAGAGAACTTGAACGTTCTAGCGAAAGTCTTACCGATTCCGCTAATATTAATGTCCAACACTCGTATCAGTCAGATCTCTTTAAGTCGTTGCACCGACGATAGCTCAACATTTAGGTCGCGTCTCTATGACTTCGTGACGAAGAAAACCACCATTTTGGAGCGGTAAAGGAGTCCATGCTTTTACCATAAATTTATTAAACTTGAGTCACAGGCCTAAAAATGTTCTGCATGCTATACGATACTATTAAAACGTTCGACCAACTGAACTGCATCTAGAAGAAATTTGAATACATACAAATAAAATTTTCTTCGAGCCGAATTACTATCGAACAACATGGAACATTCACCATATTCGACAACTCTATTTAAATTATGGTGAATGCGCATATTTTTAACATTGAGTAAACTGATGAACAACACAATAATAACCAACTTTTTAACTACTTCACAACTATAGCAATGAAATTGAAGAGTTTACACATAGAACTGATAAAGAACATATTGTTGATTTTGCAACTATATAATTATCATGGGCGCAAATTATGGTGCCCATTTTGCTTCCATTTGAGGAGTAAAGTAGTCCTAATAGAGTACCCGTCTGTTGTAATAGAGTACCTGTTTTTTTGGATAATGACCGGCGAAGGTGTTTTTACTCCTCAAAACATCTATATATAGAAATTATTTTACTTCCACCGCTTGAAACACCAAGCAACTATGCTTGTAAGCTTAACCTGCCCCTCTCTGAATTCTGCTATATGGGCGCCCATGACCACTAATCACTGCACTTTAAAAATGTTGTTGACGATCTAGTACGAATATTGTCTTATAATTTTACATAACCTTAGCACATACATTTATTAGAAATAGCAATCGAGAGATCTTTGTACTCGATTCAGCATTAGTTAGAAATAATCGAGTTGAAATACTCCGAAGATACAACCACTGAAGAAGATATCTACGAAGAAGTAAAAAGTTGTATAGAAAAATATGAACTTCCATGAAAATCTTTGCGGCTTAATAACAGACGGGGCACCTGCAATGACAGGAGAACAAATCGATTTTTTGCTTTAATGCGCAATAAAATCACACATACAATGATACTGCATCACTATATTGTTCATCAAGAACAGCTGTGTGCAAAAGTACTTGACCTGAAGCACGTGATAAGGTAGTGTGGACAGTTAATTTTATACGTGCAAGAGGACTTAATCACAGGCAGTTCCTGGCTTTCCTGTCTGATATCGGTTCGATGGCTCAGCAGAGCAGCCACACTGAAACGATTCTATTCGTAACTCGAAGAATTAAAGATTTATCTTCAAAACAAAGGCCAAGACACTAGTTTCCCTACTGGAGAGCAGTGATGGGTTGATATGGCTTTCCTAGTTGTCTTTCTGATCTTAACTTAAAACTGCAAGGGAAATATCAACTATGCACGCAGTTATATGAACATGTTCAGGCTTTCATGAAGAAGCTCTTATTGTTGGAAAAACAGCTGGAACAGAAGCAGTTGGTTCATTGGGAGACCTTATCTGGAAGAAATCAAGAGTCATTGGACTTTGTAAAGTACGTGTTGTTGTTGCAAAGGTTAAGGAATAGTTTGATTAGAGATTCGTAGACTTCTAATCGCGAATTCCTAGCAAAGTTGTAAAAACGACATACAATGGTTGCCTTCCATATGAATCAATTGGATTTTAAAAAAGTATTTTACACCCAACCAATACACAAACCTTACTAAATTAGCTCTTCAAAACATTTCTTTATTCGGTAGTACATATACTCGTATTTGCGAGCAGCTGTTTTCCCGCGAGAAATATAACAAATCGAAAACGAGATCATCTTAATTAGACAACCATTTTACAGGTATTTTGTACATAGCCACTTTTAAAACACCAGTTAACACTGTGCAAACATGGCCCTCCACAAAATTATGTTGGACAGGCCTGATATAAATGATCCTAACTGATAGATACCACGACGGAACTTTTCTAGTACGATATCAAAATGCACTCACTAAAAAGCATATTAGCCTGATATGGCAATAAATAAAACCCTGAAATGAATAACATCTTCTCTTTCAAGACCATTAGTCACGAGAGCTCTGAAAGGCTTCATTCCACGTATTTATTCTGAATTACCCGATACGATAGTAAATATTTTGTTTTTTGAACATTTTAAAGAAAGACTGAATGAATGGGTAACGGGAACACCTCGCATGATTTTGCATAGATATGCATATACAGTGAGGTTCAAATTCGGCTGACATCATAATGTGTACGAGAGAGTAGCACGAGGAGCGTGCAATATGTATGTTAGAAGGAGTGCGCCAATGGCATGCGTGACCTCGTACTCGGGTTGCTAGGCAGCGAGGTGCTTACACATATCTCTTTCTAACACACATATTGCACGCTTCTCGCGCTTCTCTCTCGTAGACATTACGATGTCGGTGGTATTTGGTTTTCAGTGTAGATAAGAGAGATAATGTTTAGAAAATACTCGGACTTGTGTAAAGTCCCTCAAATATGTACTGAGAGTTTTGATTCATTTCATAGTATTTATGCTTTCATTCGTTAATTTTTTATGCTTTAGCAGAATAATGCGCAAAATATTTTTTTGCTTTTGTATGGTATATGTGGATACGCTTACTTATTTATCAACTGTCTAGTTTAGCGCTGATTATGTATAATAATCATGGGAAATCAAGGACTTTTTCACCATTTGCTTCATTTTTACAGAAATTTTCATGTCGACTCGAAACAGCCTCATCCTTACTATCTAGCGTGTTTTTATAATGGCGTGCCATTTGGATACGAAAGCATCTTGCATCTTAAATAAGAAGCTTTCTACATATATGGTAATCTGGCTAGCTGCCACCAAAGGCCAATTCGAAAGCCTCGTTGATAATGCTTTTTGATAAAATGAAACAGGTCGCAGATTTAAGTGATTACTTAAGCTGTTAGTTTCAGCTTTATGAATGTCCAAAGCTTTCTTGGTCCCGAACATATGTAATAAGCATTTCATTTTCAGTACTTTCGTATGATATTTTAATGAACATTCTCAAGGTAATTAAATGTAGCTGCTACCTGTATCAATATATATAGATATATATATATATATTTGATCAGTATGAATTATAATAACTTTTCCAATTCCTGTATGTATGATATCGGATTTCACGCACTAATTTGAAAAGATTGAAGTCTGAAATGTGTTCTTGTGTCATATTATTACATATTTAATCCTTAGATGTAGGAAAAATCGATAAAACTTAAGCTTACCGTCGACAACATGTGCCCACTGTGCATGTCACCTGTTGGCGACATGCTCGTTCTCCCAGTAAAGTTCAAAGCTTCGGGGATATCGTCCATGGTCACATAAAACAACATACACAGGCAGCACTATAGATCACAGACACCAAAGTCTTTCGAGATCAATCTCGAAAAAATCCAAAATTCGAAAGGTACTTCTCGGCACCGCACTTCAAAAGCGTCGACGGCGACACAGCGCGTAGTTTTTCGATTGGACGCAAATCGGGCGGGTTTGGTGGCTATGTAAATGAGATCGCGGCCGTGTATAAGTGCGGTGTGCCGGCGCGATCGCAGCAGGCGATCGGATGCTATCGTCAGGCGCCCTGCGTCGTTCACGGCTGTGGGAGGGGTGAACCTGAAGGGCCGCCCCTTTTACAGGGGCAGAGCTGATAAGGGCCGAAGAGGGAAAGGCACAGTTATGGCCGATTTCTCTTCGGATTTTTTTTTCAACAAAATAAATGGTGCCAAACCAACAAAATAGTTTTCAACAATGAGTTTCACATATCTTCCTTCATTCTAAATAAAGCATCACAATGTTTGTGGTTTCCCTGGGGGCCAATTACGGGGGCAAGGGCGCGGACCTCCGCTTGAAAAGTAGAATATTGTTAACAGAGTACCCGTTTTTTGTAATACAAGAAATTCTTTCTTAAGGAGTAAAGGTATAAATATGTGAGCCAAACCGTGCGCGAACCTCTTATGTATAGCTGAAAAACATTCTCTAAAATTAGTTTTACATCGAACTTCCAACGATCGGTGGAACAGCAGAACCAGCCTCAAACCACCAGAGACCCAGGTCTGTGCGACTTAAGTTTAAATAATGTCTTCGCGCGGGAATATTTACAGGATCATTGTAATGTGTGGCTTTAGTAATGGGTAGTTTGTGCAAAAAAAAGAAACACAGTGGTATAGAACCTATGATAGAGTTGAAAAAATCAAAGATACGCTGAAAAGTGTTTAGTCTTTATATTGCTATTTATATTTTACATTTTTACCTTTTCCTGCGCTGCTTTTAATTTTGTTTCTCTCACGTCTGTTAGAAGCCAGTAGACATATTTTCTTTTTACGCTGGTCTGCAGGCATATCCATTTCCACACCTGTTTCCCGCCAAGTATCTTCATTAAAGTTTTTTTAAATGATTATTATTTTTAAGATTCCATACCAAACGTTTAAATCTATAAACAGTAATCAACCGTAATATTTTTTCTTCTAACCACTCCATATTTAAATAATACTTGCAAGCGGAACAAACTCACACCAAAAGGTCCCGATGTGAACAGCGGTTCCCTTTGTGTTCGTCAAAAAAACAACAGGGCTCGCATCGCCACGACTGGCTCAGGATCGGTTCGTGAGCGCTTAGTATGGTGCTACAAATCCCGTCCTAATCATACCAATTAGTAGTACGCAAGCGGTTTATCGTATGAATACGAATCTTTATTTTGGCATTTTCTATGATCAAGTAATTTAAGAAACTACGACCCTTGAATCAAATAAACGCATCATTTCATTCAAGAAAGCGACGCTCATATGCTGAGAGCTTCACAGCTTTGGAATGATCTTGAGCTTAGGTTAGATTAGGAAAAAAGTTGCGTTCTTTGGGGCGTATTTACATGCAGTTGAGATACTTGTAAAAATTGCATATTTGGGAAAAACAAATTTGGCCAAACTGTTTTAATTTTTTCTGACTTCATTTTAAGATTTCAAAAAACAAATATAATAAAAAAATAAAAAACGTGTGGCTCAAAATTTAAAACCATCGAGTGGTGGTCCAGAAATGCTTCATTATTCAAGATACATGGTGTCAAACTTTTTTCAAAAAATCGGTCTTCCCTAAATATCTTAATAAATGTTCAGTCGATTTTGTTCAAATTCAGCAGTGGTACTAAGGGCAGTAAGGAGCTAATTTAGCCCTAATTAGGTTTAAATTATTGAGTCCAGTGGGTTCCCGAAAAACACTCTGACTTTTTTAAATAAAATTACAACTGTTTTGTTTCTTGCATTTCTTTCATATTTCGCTTCGTTTGCGACATAAAAAATAAAAAGCACTTTTGATAATTAAGTTGGAAAGTCTTATTTTGATTTTTTTGCTCATAATATACCTGCTTTTGATAAAACAAATTAAAATAAAATATTTGCATAACGTTATTTATTGTTTCAATGCTTTGCCAGTGGCGTGCACATTGATAACCCTGGAAATTAAAAAAAAATTGAACCGAAAAAACAACAATAAAAATATTTAACAGTAAATAACACCAGACTTATAATAGTTGCTGAAAATTGATTGCCGACCTCGTTGAAATATTCCCGCCGTATGTTTTATCTGATCTCATGAATTTCGTATCCGTTGGGTTCATTCTCCATCAGTGTTGATTGGGTTTTGGTAAACGAGGGACTTTAAATGCCCTCAAAGAAAACATCTAACATATTTATCCAGTTTACTGCAAAAATTGGTGAGCTACTATGCTGAAGTGAGGTGGAGCCCCATCGTGCATAAACCATATTGCTCCTCTTATTTTCAGGTACATTTTCTGGTAGTTCAGGTAAACTAAATTCCAAAAAAATTACGATATTCTTGACCATTTAATCTCGGGGGTAAAAAATGAGGCCCAATGAGAGAATCACCTACAGGTACAATACCAAACCAAACGTTCACGGAAAACTGTTGATGATGATTAATTTCTGTAACCGCATGGAGATTTTCTTCAGCCCAAATATGATTATTGTGAAAGTTCATAATTGAATTTCGGGAAAAACACGCTTCATCGCTAAATAAAATAGGGGATAGAAATCTTGGAAATGCTATCTGTTGTTGCAAAAGCCAAGTACAATAAACGACTTGTTGGGGATCGGAAATCGGCAGGTAATAAGTTTGAACAATGTGGTAACGATACAGTTGATATTCCCTTAAAACCTGTCATACAGTAGAGTGAGAGATGTTAATTGTTCTGCCATTTTGCGTGTACTCACATCGGGGCTACGCTCAACTTCATGTAAAACTGCTTCCCACATCTCCACTATTCTTACTGTGGCAGGTCTTCCAATTACAGCAGCCGACCTTTGAAAGGTGCCTGATTCGCACAGCTTTTCATGTATTCTCACGAATGTTTGTCTATTTGGTACAATGCCATGAAGATATCTTTATTGATAAATGCGCTTAGCCGCTCTAGAATTGCCTTGAGCCATTCCATAAACAAAATGAATATCGGCCATATCTATGTTTCTAAATTGAACCATTTTCCAGTATTACTAATTTTATAGTTTAAGATTCTTAAAAGCACTTCAAATAATTACGATCATTACATTACGCACAGTTTTAATTAACTTATGTCAAAGTTAGATTTGTTTGAGTAGCAATTGTGTTTCCTTTCATGACACTCTTATTTTTTGTTGCTTTCAATACATTGCTAAATTATGTTATGTGATTATTTTATGTTATTTTTTTATCGAAATTAATTTTAAATATGTGCGAAAAAAATCAAGAGATGACTTTCGCCTAATGTTAGGTTAGGTTAGGTTTCTTGTGAGTGCATCAATAACGATCCTCCACTGCGACTCTTTGGTCTATTGTGGCTCTCACCTATTCATATTTCCCCCAATAGATCCGACCTCCTGAGGAAGTCGATCAACTTGTTTGGATCCTTCAGGTATTCTGCTTGGAATACTAGGTCTCCAAGTATGTTCTACTTGATTCTGGCAATTGCAGGACACTGCACAATACATGCCTGACCGTTTCATCTTCCGCCATGCCCAGCCTGCTCATGTCGTGACGCAATTTGCAGTGACCAGTGTACAGTCATACAAGAGCTTTAAGGCTATTCCTGTTCAGCCGTGGCAAAGAGTCTGTTACCTTCTTTGTCAAGATTAGTATAGTTGCCTTAGCATGGGTTAACCCTGCAAATCCCTTCCAGTATTGATGGGTCTTTCTGTCCATCTCTGCAGAGATTATTTGTTTAGCCGAATTGTATGCGATCCCAATCGCTGGCTCAGGCCCTATGAAGGGTGTGCCAGCTCCACTCTTTGCCAGAGTGTCAGCTGTCTCGTTTCCCTCTAGACCTAATGTTAATTGCGTATATAGTTTGGTGGTTTAAATGTTTTATTACGTTATTTTCCTAGGGACATGCAATAAAGTGCTTCTTATTTTTTATCTCGCAAACGAAGCTGTATCTTCCACAGGTATCAAGATCCCCATCTTGGACACCAACAGTGAATACAGAAACAACTGTGCCAAAAACTCATAGATGACGCTACGTCATCTCATTTTATCTCCGATATTTTTTTTGTTTCAAAATATAGCATTAGGTTGGCTATCTTCAGGTAGAATACGTTAATCAATGCCATAACTTCAAGAAAGTTTTGTGTTTCTGTCAAAAAACCATTTTTTATATGCCTATTGGATCAACATCGCAATACGTATTCCTATCTATAGCGGTCCTTGAACCCTGAGCTGAAAATGTTTCCTGCTATACCTCGCCGACAGCGCATTTCCACTAGCAAGTAGCATTTTCTCGCATATCCTGCAAAGTCTCTATCCCTGCTGCGGATGCCCCCACACAGAGCAACCTCTCACGGATAGCGGACTAACGCTAGGCTAATTGAGCTGCATTAGTGCGAGCCAATGGTGGCTCAGCAGGACGCTTACAGGCGGGTCGCTGCAGGACACTCCCACTCCGCAGGATCGATAACGGCAGGACAACCAGCACCGCAGGACTACGCTTCGCGGACCTTTGCCGGGGCTCGATTGGTATATTGGTAATTTGGCCTTAAATGGTTTATTTTTCAGATGGATTCAATTACTTGCAGTCATTCGTGGTATACTGTGTGATCCAATTGTCATACTCCATTTTTTCTGTTTTTATGGCGTTTTTAAACGGGCAACATTTCACCTGTACATCATGTTTAGTTTATCGGAATCCTGTAATGTAAGTGATAACGCTTTTTACCAGAAGCATTGTTAGGCTTAAATCGCTCGGTCACAGGGCACCTCCAAACGTCCCTGAAGTTAGCTTCAGATTCAGATTCGAATAGGACGAAATTACAGTCGACCAGTTCAGTAGTGAGCTCAAATCGCCGATATACCAGAAAACTGGCACTTTCAGCTCCTGAGGGTTGTTTAATGTTGCTTATTATCAAGGAATGCTTTTAAGCAAATCATTCTAGATATTATCCCAAAATTTGATATTACCAGTGGTGGAGTGAACGGGAAAACGAGAACATGCACTGGTGTACTATATACAAATATAATAGGCAAAATACCAAAGATTTCTTACATGACGCTCCTACTGTTATTAGACCTAATTG